GCAGAGACTTGGGCCCTGTTTCTTCCAGCATTGGGTTGGATGACTCCTGGGAGTATCCTCCTTGGGGTATTCCTCTTGAGCAGTGGTCCTTGTTGATTTTTGTATAGGAGTAAAATGGAAATATTGTTAGAACTTCCTTAGTACTTTAGAGCAAGGTGTTGGGTGTTATGGCGTTTTTTGCCTACTGATGGAATTTGTGCAAATCGCTCTCAGTAATGTAGATTTGGTCTCAAAACACCCACACCCCCCTCCCTTGTAGACAAAGGTGAAAGTGAGCTGTGAAAGAGAGCATCCAAATGAATTGTGTGAGTTTTCTATGTGAGCTTTAAAAACTGTCAGGTAAAATCAGATGTTTGGCTCCCATTAAATGAGCATTTTTAGAACTTACAAGTCTTGGAGAATGTGCTTCTCTTCAGTTTTCTGCTGGGAAATGTGCTTCCAGGCCCTTCCACGTTGGGCATCTTCATGTCTAATGTGGCTCATGGTCCGTTGGCTGCCTTAGGAGGGCTGAGTCCAGATGTGTTCATTTAACACCTGTGAGTGGCCTCCCTTCTCCAGAGAAGCATACTTTCTCCCCTGCCCCGGGGCCTGTCTGCCTTCCTCATTCATGTGGGCTTCTCTCAGGACTGAGGTTTGTGTACTGAAATCTTATGTATCTGGTAGCAGTGGTCAGGAAAGCTGCTGCTTCCCCAGAACTTTGTCTCTTTCTGTCCATAGCCACAGGTGTGGGCAGTGCTCTGGATGCTTCCCACTTCATGTCCACGTGGCCCCTCCTGATGCTGCCTCCTCAGTTCAAGGTGCTCTTCTCAAACTGAGGGTGGAGCTGATGGAGCCCATAGGGAGACCTTCCAGCCCAGATCACCTGTCGAAGTCAGGCAGCCACCCTACTGCTCTTCTCCCTTTGCCCATGTCAGGGAGAAAGCGACAGTCCAGAGAGGCAGGGTGGGACCATGGAACAGTACGCTTGGAAAGCTGCCTCTTCACCCTCCCTTTTTAATCAAGGACTCGTCCCAAATTGCTCTTCAGTGCCAACGAGCAAAGAGTTGCCCACGCAAGTTCTTGAGCATTTTGTGCAGATTTACTGAAAACAGCTCAGGCAGCCTTAAAGGAGCTCCACAGCCTTCTCTTGGACCACTGTTCCTGAAATCCAGTAACCCTGTGCTCCAGGAGCAGGACAGCCAGTCACGTGACTGCAGGGGAGAGGACTAGGTTAAAAAGCACATTTGGCAGGCATTTCATGTTTTCAAAAACATCCCTGGCTGTTTTTCTTTCTCTTGGGGTAAGTGTCCTTAACCATATTTGCCCACCCCTTACCTCTCATTATTCCTCCAAAGTACTGTAAATTGTGTAGCTGTGATAAACAAAAGTATGTTGAAATTGTTTTTAAAATTACATGCTGCTGAACAATGGGATCATGAGCGAGTGTAGAATTGGGGTGTGTGTATACAAGTGAGCAGGTTTTCATCGATACCTTTTTAAATTGGGGGAAAAAAAGAATTGCAGAGTTCCCTGGGTGGAGGTGCCAGAGACGTTGTTATGGTTCACCTCATCAGCTCTGAGTCCTTGGTGTTTTGTGCCTTCTGGATGCCAGTCTTCTTTGGCCCACTCTCAAAAGGCCCCATTTGGTTTCTAATGAATGATATAGAGGAAGTACTCAGGCCAGCCCAGACAGGTTGGAGTTAATGCTTGTGTGTTTTAAGATTGTGTTTGTCTTTGAAATTAAAGACAATCTTACAGAACTCACACACACACACACAGCGCGAAGGAGCCTGGACTCATCTCTGTCCATGTCTATTTTGGTCTCCAGAGGATAATAAAAAGTTCATGACACTCACAGTGGTTTCTGGAAACAGATCTTTGAGTACCAAGAAAAAAAATGAATAAAGATCGGTTCCCACCCATCCCTACCCACCATCCTCTGTACCCAACACAGCACTCTTCTGATACTGACACCAGAAGGCAGTTAGCTGTCGTTCGCTGTCAGTGGATAATACCTACTCAGCACTTGGGACAAATTCCAGCATGTAACTTCCTCCTAGTGAATGATCCTGACAGGAGAGGGAGTTAAACTTAATTTATGTTATCTAATAAGCTCAGTTTAGCAACTTGGAAAGTTAGCCTTCCAGAATTTTCCCACAGACTTCTCCCCAGTGAATTATGTAGTGCCATATATTACAGTTGTTACCAATGCCACACTCCCCAAATGTAGTCGCTACTGAGTAGTTCTCACTTTTCAAAAATCAAGGCCAAGTGTCCAGGTGTATGTATCAGGCACAGAACTTGGGTATTTGGGCTGAATGAAGAATCCTTGGGGTGGACAGAGAGAACACCTGGGAGAGTTGCTAGGGTTATCACTCACTTTGTTTCCTTTTCCACAATGGCTGCCCCCTAGCTGGCAGAAGGCAGGTAAAGCAAATTGGGGTGATGACCAAACTGAAGCCTCTTCCCTCCACCGGAGTCTGCCTTTGATGAGGTGTTCAGCTGAGCCAGGAGCTGGGTTGATTCCAGTGGTGATCCATTTACTGATGCTTTTATTCAGCCAGCAGCATTCATCAGAAGGATAGAAGAGCCCCTGGGACTTTGTCCTGAATCATCCCAGTATCTTGAAGGAAGGGAAGGGGCAGTAGGGATGTCCCCATCTTTTATTATAGATATTGCAGGTACAGAAATATGTCAGGACTTGGTGACAGACATACCCTGATGCCATCCTGTTGGTTCCCCAGCGTGGCTACAAGTTCCCCCTTACCAGCTGGGCTGTGCCTCGGAAAGATTATTTTCTTTTTAGATGGAGGATGCATATTGAGGCCATGCACGCTTCTGCTGTGAAATCCTTTAGGAGAAAGACAACTGGTATCCAATATCTTCGAGTAATGAACTTATCAGTAACTATAACACATGAGCTCATTAATCTTAACTTTGCTTTTGGACCAAGTGGGAGTTCAGCTTCTCGGGAGACAAAAATTTCATCTCTGTTCTTTTCCTTAAACCCAATCCCAATTTAGAGTCACACATATTGCCCTGCTCTCCCTGGGAAGCAGTTAATAATATGTTTTCTTGAACAATGGATGGCTCAGGTCGTTCAGGACCTCCAGGCTGCATGCACATGCCCAGGCACATGGTCTGAACTCAGGGCTTCCAAGTAGGGTGTGAGTGTCATCTTGGTCTACACACACACACACACACACACACACACACACACACACACGTACACACACGTTGTTTCCTCAAACTGATGAATGGTGTCTAGGTGAAGTTAATCTTAAAAGCTAAGCCATTGATCCTGGTGTAATGGTGCAGGCCTATAATCCCAAGGACTCAGGAGGCTGAGGCAAGAAGATCATAAGTTTGAGGCCAGCCTCAGCAACTTAGACCCTGTCTCAAGAAAGAAAGAAAACATTCGAAAATTCATTTTGAAAAATAAAAGATCTAGAATAGCCAAGCAATTCTAAGTCAAAGAGATAAATGCTGGAGGCTTCATAATATGTGACTTCAAATTACACTACAGAGCTGTAGTAATAAAAACTGCGTGAAACTGGCATAAAAACAGACACACACACACCAGCGCTGTAGAACAGAGACACAGAAACAAACCTAGTACCAAAAAAAAAAAAAAAAACCCTAAGTTCACTGAATCTTAATCTTAAAATCCTCCATCCTGGCCACTTGGTCCTTTTCTCAACATCTGTCACAGCCTCCACATCACTGGAAAGACATTGAGGCTGTGGGGTGAGTCTGTTGCCAGAGTGCTATTATTCATTCTGTGTTTTCAGGATCTGGGCTTAAAATAAGACAACCTGGGGAGGAATGTTTTGGGCCTGGAGAATAAGTGAGGGGAGACAGGCGGGGTGGGCTTCGTGGGGAGGCTTGCTCTTGTACTTGTCGCAGACCACCCACGGGATGAGGGTGGTGAGGAGCAGCCAGTGCTGGCAGGCACCTTCTGCCTGGATCTTCTCCACACCCTCCTGTGGAGAGGCCCAGAGCTCAGCCCCTAGAGCGCTGGGGGCGGGAGAGGAGAGGGCAGATGAACCCAGCAGACACTGGGCATCTCCGCCACACACACCGTTAACCCTTCTAGAGGTTGACTGGAACGCTCGCAGGAGCAGGCGACACCGTCGTGCACCTCTGTGTGTGCCTTTGTCCTGGCCTCTTTGCTGACTCCTGAAGTCCTCTTCATTGTGGCTACCCAGAGAGACTCTGCATCACCTCCTTGCTGTCTGGCCTCTGAGTCTCTCGATCTGCTACTTTCAACAGGAAGGCCGTTTCTCTTATTTGCCCCTGACCACTGTCTCCCTTGGAGTCCTCTGCTCAAAAACAAAACCACAACGACAAAAAGCTAAGGACCACAGCTGCCTCCACATCTGGGAGGGAAGGGCAAGCGGGAGGCCCTGAGTAGGGACCTCAGCCTCCCACCTGCCCGGGGGAGTTGAAGCATCAAGTTCCTTAGAGATGGCAGTAAGAGCACAACCTCTCCTTTCCCCTCTATTTTTGTTACCTTTTCCAAGACTTGGAGCGGTCTTTTTCCTGAGAGCCCCCACAGCTTAAGGTCATGGTTTGACACTCCTGCCCTCCCCACAAGCCCTAGCTATTCAGAAGGTGGACTGTAAGCGAAGCCATCATCGTTTCTCCTCCCTCTCTGCCTCCTAAAAACAGTGTGGTAGAGGTCACGGTGTGCCTGCGCCAGGGACAGTGCTGGGGGTGGGGGAGTCAGCCCACTCGGTTCCATGGGAAAGGACAGTGTCTCACTGCAGCAGTCAGCGTGGGGTCCTACCCTTCTTGGGTCCAGGGGGACAGCCTTTGAGTAGCCACAGTGGGAGTTCTGAGGACGTCAGACTGGCTTGGGAGGCTGTGGAATGTGGAGCGTTGTCATCAACTGTTCAGCAGCAGGAGACCTTGCTGTTATCACCATCCCCACCCAGATGTGCCCCCACACCCTCTGAGTTAGGGTGACCTCCAGATGCCCTGCTCTAACAGTTGCTGTCCTCTGCCTCTCCCACCTGCAGGTTACGTGTTCTGTATGTTACATCGCCTCCCCGAGCAGCATGACTGCACGTTCGACCACATGGGCCGTGGCCGAGAGGAAGCCATCATGAAAATGGTGAAACTGGACCGGAAAGTGGGGCGCTCCTGCCAGCGCATCGGGGAGGGGTGCTCCTGAAGGCCAAGCATGGCCACCACATGACGCTGTTCTTAGTTCACTAATGTTAGCCTTATTTAGGACAAAGTCAGCCAGACACCTTGTACTGGGCACGCGTCAGACTACAGCCAGTCCGTTTCCTTTCTTTAGCCAGCCATCCTGGTACTGTAGTTTAGGGGTTGATGGTGGTTGAAATTGATTTCTGGCTGGTTACTAAGGTGCCTGCTAGCCATTGTATAAAATTAAAACATGAACAATATTTTTTTTTGAGCATGGCTAGTGGATTTAAAACAACACATACCTGTCACTGCTGGAGTCAAACTTATAAAAAGCCTTAAGCGGAAAGTGTTCCAGATGGAGACTCTGAGTTTAGAGGAGTAGAAACTGGTGTTACAGTTCCACGACGCACATGGCTTTGCCAGAAACTCTGTTTAATGTTTGGCCTTTCACCTCTTCACTTACCCTTAGTCCCAGGAGCCAGGATACCTGATGGCCACGCGTGCCTTGGCCATGGGAGGCTGCTGATGGCCATGTGGCTGGGCTGGGTGGTGGCCTCGCTCTCCCACACAGCTGGAAATGGGGGGCAGGGGACAGATTCTTATGGAAATTTTTTTACCTGACTTGCTATGAAAAAAACTCATCACACAGAAGAGAAACAATAACCTCACCTCGAAAATTAGCTCCACTCAAGACTAGTTCATGCACGAAACCCACCTTTTCTACACAGGATCCGCAGTCATGAGCAGCACCCAGCCAGAGTGTACCCTGACCCCAGTGGCTCTGGTTGCCATTGCTAACCGCAGGGATCTGGCAGTTGATCTAAGGCCCGTGGCAGCACAGCACTGTGGCTGGGGTCTACAAACTGGCTTCTGCAGCCAGATTTCATATTGGGAGTTTTTAAAAAAGACATTTCATAGCCACCAGGAATCAATCAGTAGTAGTGCTGGGGAGCAGCTGGGGATGCTGCTGCCACAGCCTCGGTCCCTTCCACCCAGAGCCCACTTGCCCTTCTGGGGCTAAGAGGATGGTGCCGTGGCCCCCGCTCCTTCCCGTGCGGTCCGTAGTTGGAGGACAGCCATCCGCCTCTGCCACGTGGCAGGCTTGGGAAGGGGAGGCAGCCTGCCTCACCAGAGTGTGGGTTGGCCCCTCTAGAGCAGTGGCTGTGGCTGTGGCAGGAGGTGGGGAGGGTAGGTCTCCCACCCATTCCTCTGTGTGGGCAGAGAGGTTCAGTAGCCACAGTTGCTCAGCCAGTGGGGAAGAGGGGTGGTGGGCCTGGTTGCCTTGTTAGGAAATCGTTACCAGTCAGCGGAGGGTCTGGCTGGGGAGTCAGGACTAGGATTCCCTTGGAGGCCCCAATCAGGTGGTGGTTGTGCCAGTGCCCCCCCCCCCTTGTGGTCCCAGTCAGAGGGCAGGAGGCTTCTGGCGAGGCACCGTGGTCTGCCCACACACAGGCTACTGATGGAACAGTTTAACCCAGCAGTTTTCTTGTATCCCACACCACACAGTTCAACTACTCTGTCTGCAATTTGTCAGCGGAACACCTGCAGCTGCAAATGTTTTTCAATCCAAAATAATGAAATAGGAAATCATGCTCTTCCCAATCTCCTGCCCCCACCCCACCTCCACCCCCACCCCCACCCGAGTGGAATCCGCTGCAGAATCTCCAGCCTTAATTATTGCTTCAGGACCCAGACCGGTGTCTTGCTCTAGGGCAGCCCAGGGCAGAGGGGCCAGGTCTGCCCAGCGTTTACCACTGTTGTCAAGCCACGGCCCTCTGGCCACTACATGGCCATCCTCAGTGAGGCGCCCGCCTAGGCCCCCCGCCAAGCTCTATCCGGAAGAGGCCGCAGGTGTGTGCCCTTCCTGGCCCTCCTCAGGCCCCAGCAGCTGCTGCTTGGAGGCAGCAGTGGGAAGGAGGTGCTCTGGGTGCCACGGCACACAGGGCCCACGGCCCACGTTCACTTCCTGACAGTAGAGCCGGGTGGGGGAGGAAGGGCTTGTTCCCCTGCAGTATCTGTTCTGTGAAGTTTGTTAAATGTAAGGAAAGCTTAAATTCTTGTATCTTTAAAGAGAAAATCTTATTTAACCCTTTTGTGTTCTAGATTTACTTACACACATAGCCTAGAGCTCAGTTTTAGTTTTAACATTGTGAAACTATTAAAAGAATCTTGTAACTTTATTCTTTTTTTCTCCTGCTGAAAAAAATTAAACGAATCATATGAAAGTTTGGAGTTCTCTATTTCGCCGTTTTTCCTAAATGCTCCCTGAATAGCCTAAGCAGTAGAATGCGTCTGGCCAGGGCTGGGAATGAGATGGTGGCTCTTGGTGCAGAGTCCCACTGCCCACTCTGGAGGTGGCTGCTCCAGTTAGTGCCCAGGCTGAACAGCTGTTGCCCTGGTGTCTGTTAGTAGCTCTGTCTGTTGGCACTGGAGTGAACATGTGTCCGCAGCCTCTACTAGCACCAAGGAGGTGACAGTTGCGGGTGGGGTGAGAAGCAGCCCTGAGGCCCCCCCCCCCTCAAGGTGTGGCCTGGGTGCCGGGTCCTAGACCCCTGTGGGGTGAGTGGGGAAGGCTCTAGGAGGAGCACGTGTTGCTGGGTGCTGGATACACCGGTGGTTCCAAGGCAGAGGGCGGGTGCTCATCCCACTGCTGTTAGGACAGAGGGAGTAACAGTTGCCATGCGGGTGATGCCAAGACCTCAGAGGTGATCCAGAGGGACCAGCAGGTGGGCAGGAGCAGAGGCCAGTCTGTGGCCTCACTGCTTAGCCAAGCTGGTGGGGAGCAGGGGCCTCCCTAGCACCCTCTTCCTGATGGCTTCAGTGAGGCCTTTACTTAGGCCGATGGAAATCAGCAGACAGACGAGGGGAGGGGCGGGGAGGGGAGAGCTTCCTGGTGGGCAACAGTGCTGCGCTAGTCAGGGAGCTGTAAGCAGCCCCCTTGCCTCAAGAAGGTGGTCACCAAGATAGAGACCCCAGATGGGCACAACAGCAAAAATACCCAAGTAGGGTGTGTAGGGGCCTCGGAAAGGCGGATCTCCTCTGCAGCCGGGCTCGGGCTCAGGCTTCTGAGGGAGGGAACCAGGTGGGGCTGAGGAGGACTCACTGGCCTCCTGGGGACCCACGAACCTGAAGTCTGGGCAGTCAGTCCTCAGGTGCACGTAGACTGTTAAGCAAATAAGAAGAGTTTGTGAATGCCCAGCAAAAATATTAAGAAAGGAACTGCTGACCTGCTGCATGACTTGGCTGTGGGTAATATTCACAAATAATGTAAACACATGCAGAAATAATGAACGCTGCTTTGGTGAAACTTCATGGTGGAGCTCTGTTGGAGAGGGAGAGCTGTCTGCGTGTGTGTGCTCAGAGTCCAGAGCTACGCATTCTTCATCGACAGTCAGCAGTCCGCAAGGGACAGCCACAGCTCCAGAGGGCCCCACAGCCTGCTTAGAAATGTGGAAGGAGAAGCTAAGTTCTGTGGCTTAGGGTCGGGAGGGGGACCCCAGCCACTTCCTTTCTCCCACAGTTAAATGCCTGCCCTTGTGACATTGAGAGGAAAACTCAGAAGGAATGATGGGACCAGCTCTCCCTGAGAGATGGGAGGCCCTTGGTTTCATCTCCTAGGCCAGTGCCTGCCCCAACCCATGACAATGGGTCGGTCCTGTCCCCAGGGTGGAACCAGGAATGGCATCTTCTGGTCCTCTCGCCAGCACACACTGGTTGTTGCCCTGCCCTTTGCTCCGGGTCCTTTTTCTCTTGGACCGACCCCCCTACCCCCGCTAGTGATTGATAGCAAAGACCCTTCCCTGGAGTCGTGGGCACCTGGGAGCTGCAGTTCCAAGTGTCTGCCAACCACCCTCAGCCAGGTGTCCGGGTCGCTGGACCTCACACCACGTCCAAGCTGCTCTGAGGCAGTTTTTCAGAGCTCGGCGCACAGCTGGGGGTTGAAGGCAGGGCTTCTTCCCGGGTGTGCTGAAGAGGCTCTGGGTGACGGGACCACGGCCGAGCCACCTTCCCAGGGTGATCTACGTGGTGCTGCGTGTTGTGGTGCTCCCAAGGCATCTGACTGGTACCAACATCCCACCTCACATCTCAGAGACCTGGTGCCCAGAAACCCGCCTGTGGGAAGTGCAGAGCAGGTTCTTAAAGACTCTGCTCCCAGCTCCATGGAGCTGGCCAGAGAGGAGGGACACTGCTTAGAATGCCTGGCGCCAGAAGCTGGTGTGTGGCAAACTTTCTAGTGGCAATGTGTGGACTAGGAAGAGGAAGACTCTATGCTCTCGGTCACAAGCTGCCACTTTGAGCACCTCACCAAAGAACTGATGAAAAGTTTCGTGACGATGCCGAGATTTTAAAACATGTCCCTTCCCTCGATTATTGGACACTTTTCCCAACAAATAATAGAACCCCCTCCTCTTGGATAGGGACCAACTTTGGTGATCTGCTTCTAATGAACAGCGTATGGCAGAAGTGATGCTCCTAAGACAGTCACCGGTGCCCACCTGTAGTCCCAGCTACTCAGGAGGCTGAGACAGAAGGATCCTTTGAGCCCGGGAGTTCAAGGCCAGCTTGGGTGACAGTGAAATCCTGTCAAAAAAATAAGAAAGTGGGGGGCGGGGGAGGAAGCAGGCCAGCTGGCTAGCCTCCTGGCTCCAAGGCCACTTCCGGCGAGCTCAGGCCACACGCCTTGGGAACCCGGGGCCGACATGCAGAGAGTCTGGTGTTCACATCCACTAGGATGAGGACGATGATAGAAAATCGGAAAGTAACAAGTTGTGGCCGAGGCATGGAAAACTGGAATTCTGGTGTGGCCATTTGGAATGTAAAGTAGTGTGGGGCCTGGGAAAGTTGGCTGGTCTCAAGAAGTTCAAACAGTGTTAGCGCAGGGCCCAGCAGGTCCACTCTATCACTCAGCAATAAAGAATAAAGTCATGGCATCTGCAGGTGAATGGATGGCGTTGGAGAAGATAAGGCGAAGTGAAGTTACCAATCCCAAAAAACCAAATGCCGAATGTGTTGTCTGATATAAGGAGCTGACTCCTAGTGTGGTAGGGAGGGGACCAGGGGAGGAACAGACGAACTCTAGGGCAGAGGGGTGGGAAGGGAAGGGAGGGGGCAGGGGTTAGCAAGGAGGTGGAATGTGATGGACAGCATTACCCTGAGTACATGTGTGAAGACACGAATTGGTGTCAACATACTTTATATACAACCAGACAAAAATGGGAAAAAAAAAAGAGACAAAGCCCAGGCCTCAAGTTCCGGCCCACACAGCAGCACAGCGCTCTTCACAGTGGCCGAAAGGTAGAAGCAATTCACTGTCCATCAAGGGAAGATGAGCAAAATGTGGTACAGTCATGGGTGAGCCATAAAGAGAAAATGCTGATCTGTGCAACATCATGCCTCACGAAAGAGGCCACACACAAGTCCTGTGTGCGACGGCAGGTACAAGAAATAGCCAGGACAGGGACATTCGCAGAGACAGCAGACTGGCCACCACAGCGGATGGGAGGAGACAATGGGAGCAGCTGCTCACTGGGTGAGGGGTTTTCTTTGGGGTGATGCAGGTATTTTGGAACTAGACAAGGCAGCTGGCGTGTGACACTGAAGGTACCAAATGCCATGACTTGTTCATTTTGTTTTGTTTTTGTGGAGCTGGGGATTGAACCCCGGGCCTTTTGCATGTGAGGCAGGCACTCTACCAACTGAGCTATATCCCCAGCCCAACTTGTTGATCTTATGGTGAATTTGACGTTCTGTGAATATCCCCTCAAAGTCTTGCTGCTCTGAAGCCACATTCTGGAGAGACCATGTGGAAGGACCAGACCAAGGGAAAGGCCCCACATCCAGCTGCCAGTCTCTGCAGACACAAACCAGACAGAGGGGAGGGTCTTCAGGTGACCTAGTCCCATCTTTGGCTGACCCAGTGACCCAGGCGGAGCAGAGATGAGCTGCCCCACCCATCCCTGACCACACTAATTCTCAGGGTGGCAGTTCTGTAGCAATAAGACCCAAACAGGAGATGTCCACGGACTGCAGGGGCTCCGGTAGCAGCTACAGGCCAAGGCGGGGCTCTGCAAGTTCCTGGAGGTGGAGGGGGTCTCACAGGGGAGGAAGGTCCTGGCAAGCTGCAGGAGAACCCGCGGCTCGGGAGAGGGCCACCAGGAACACCGTGTGTGGCGGCAGCCATCCTGCAGATGTAGACAGGCAGTGGCCAGCAGGTGGAGAGGGCTCTGGCACCTTCAGTGAGGCCCTCGCAAGGTGACCTACCCTCCCAGCACTTGTGGCCCCTGCACTTGGTCAGCTCCAGTATCAGGGAGGGAGCCCTGGCCTGGGAGCCAGAATGCAGTTCCAGCCCAGCTCAGCCCTTCCTCGTGTGGGACACCTGTGAAGAGGCCCTCACCTGCTCTGGGCTGGTCCTGGCTGGAGGATATGGAAATTCCACCACCCTGCATTACCAGGTGGCCCTCAGTCACGCCGACTTCAGAATCACCTACAGAGCTCTTCAGAAGACTTCTATGCCCAGCTCCACCCAGTCCCATGTCAGTCAACGCAACAGGCTCTGCAGTGGGTGGCTTTTCACGAAGCTCAGGCCATCCCAGGGTACAGCCAGTTTGAGGCCACTGCTCTAATGCAGCATCACTGCTGCCCAGCTGCAGAAGGGCACAAGGGCACAGACCTGTGCACCCACAAAGACACTAATTGCCAAACTGCCATTCCCAGCCAACAGCCCCTTCTCCCATTTGCAGATTAAAAAGATACCAGGGGCCTGGGGATGTGGCTCAAGCGGTAGTGCGCTCGCCTGGCATGCATGCGGCCCGGGTTTGATCCTCAGCACCACATACCAACAAAGATGTTGTGTCCACCGAGAACTAAAAAATAAATATTAAAATTCTCTCTCTCTCTCTCTCTCTCTCTCTCTCTCTCCTCTCCTCTCCTCTCCTCTCTTTCTTTAAAAAAAAAAAAAAGGTACCAGGTATCAGGGCAATTGCCATCAAAATCCCAGTGGCATTCTTTACAGAAATAGGATCCTAAAATTCATGTGGAATGACAGGACTCCAAATAGCCAAAGCAATCTTGAGCCAAAGGAACAAAGTTGGAGGCATCACAACACCTGATCTCAAAGTAGTTGACGAAGCTACAGTGACAGAAGGACGGAGGAGAGCCTGAAAACAGACACCGGCCGGGCAACAGCGCGGAGCATCCAGAGCAAACCCACGTGCTTCACTGCGGATTCTTGACAAAGGTGCCAAGAACACTCACACTGGAGAAGGACGGTCTCTCTTGGACAAACAGTGCTGGGAAAACATGCACCGATGACGGGAGACCTTTGTCTCTCACCATGTACAAACATCAATCAAAGTGGCTTAAATTTAAGGAATGAAACTACTAAAAAAAAAAAACCAGAAGTTGGACCCAGTGGTGCATGCCTATAATCCCTGCAGCTCAGGAGGCTGAGGCAGGAGGACACAAGTTCAAAGCCAGCCTCAGCTACTTAGTGAGGCCCTAGGCAACTCAGTGAGATCCTCTCTCTAAATAAAATATTTAAAAAGGGCTGGGGTGTGGCTCCGTGGGTAAGCACCCCTGGGCTCAATACCCAGTAAGAAAAAACAAAACAAACAAAAAATGGGACGCTTCATGACCTTGGTCTGGGCAAGGATTTTTTTTTTTTTTAATAAGATCTCAAAAGCACAGGCCTCATCACAAAGTAGACACACGGGACTGCAAGGAGCTAAAAGCTGCTGCTGCACAGGAGGAAACAGCAGGAGGAAATAGTTGCAAATAACCATCTAAGAAAGGGTCAGTATCTAAAATTTGTAAGGAACTCAAAAACTCCTTTGAGGAGACAGGTATGTTTACCCAGATTGAAACGTTGCACAACATATGTCTGTATCAGCACATCACTCGGTGATGTATGTTTTTATGTAACAGTTGAGACAAATTTAAATTCAAAAAAGTTAAAAATGGTCAAAAGGCCTGACATTTCTCAAAAGACAATGGGAGAAAGACTAACAGGTCTATAATACGATGCTCAACATTCCCAGTCGTCAGAAAAATGCAAATAAAAAACCGTGACGGCCCTCCCCCCCAGTCCAGGGACGTTAGGCAGGAGTGCCAGCGAGGACAGGAGGTGGCCCTTCACACGGCCGGTGGGAATGTCCATCAGCACAGCCAGCGTGGAGGACAGCGCCTTTCACCGTCTGATCCAGCGATCCCACCACTGGGTCTGCATCCAGAGGGAGTGACATCACCTACCAGGTGACACTGGTGCCCCTGTGTTGACTGCAGCACCGCTCACAGTGGCCAAGAGATGGAATGGGCCCGATGTCCACCGGCGGCTGATGGATAGGGGAAACGTGGGGTGACTGCACTATGGGACCCTCTGTTCATAAAGAAGGAGGGAGTCCTGGCATTTGTGGTCACATCAGTGCATCTGGAGGACACGATGTCCATGCTCTCTCTCAAGCGGACCTAGAGTTGGAGTTGGGAGAAGGCATGTGGGAGCTAGAGAGGAAGGAGCGTGTGGGATGCCTTGTGAAGACAGACGGAGGGTCAGGAGGACAGAGGAAGGGGACGGAGGGGGAGGGGTGAAATGTCACACTGTGTGCACGTGGGGATAGGTAACAACAAGTCCCACCGCTGGGCACTGCTATAGGCACGAATAAAACACAGGGAAGAAAAAAGCTGAGAGAGAAGAGCCACCACTGGAAGCTGGAGGGTTTGCAGGAAGCGGTGACTGATGGGCACAAAGGTGGGTGGGAGGAGTGTGTCCCCGTGTCCTGGTGCAGGGCAGGATGACTCTACTCAGGGTCTGTCTCAAAATAGCTGGGCTGTGCGTGTTCTCATCACAAAAAAATGACCAGTGGTTACGCAGTGGATGCGCCACCCGATCTGAGGTCCCCTGTTGTGTGCACATATGGAGACACTCGCAAGGGTCGCGAGGGTCAAAACAGCAGGGGTGCCCAGTGCGCCTCCTCACACCCTCTTTCCATCTGACCCCGCTAAGCCTGTAGGCACAGGGGTGGTGCTCCCGCGTGGTGCTCCCAGGGCTCCCCCAGGGGCTGAGGGCCCATAGCCCAGCCCTCCCTCCCCCAGGGCTCTGGCCTTTCTGGGTGGGCAAGGCCCTGGGCAAACCACTGACCTTCAGCTGCCGTGATGAGTCCCCCATCCCGTGGCCTGACGGGGCCAGCAGCGTTTAGGATGCTGGGGTTCAGGCCTGGCCAGACGGGCCCTTTGGGGCACACAGGGCTCAGCCGGGGACCCCTCTTCCAGGCTCTCAAGGCCACGTCCCCTGGAAACCTCGCCCCTCCCGGCAGGCTCAGGGTGCAGTGTCCTGTTAGCCTTTTCTGGTGACGAGAACCAGCAGCAGCAGTAAGGACGTGGCCACCCCGGGGACCGGAGCCCTGGGAGCAGGTGTGGATGTCATTTCATGGTGCTTCCGGGTGGTTCTCCCTCTGCGGAGCCTGAGAACCCCCGAACCACAGCCACTCAACCTGCAGAAACAAAACTGGCACTTTGTGGTGGCAACTTGCATTTCCCACAGAAAAACAGCACAGAACACAATTTACACCCTGAGCAAACCACGACGAGCAGGCTGTCGCGACTGTCCTGGCTGCGGAGCAAAATCTTGGCCACTCCCTGCATGGGGAAGGCCTGGCGCTGGGTGGCCTGGCTACGAAGGTGAGGCGGATCTTTGGGGTTAGGATGTGAGGAAGTCGCTGTGTTTCCATCACAGGTCACTAGGAAACTGACCACCTCGTGAAGCTGGTGTGATTTTCCTTTGGGGTCCTGCCGCAGGCATCTGGTAAACCCAGCTCTGCAGCCGCCACCCACCCAGCTCTGCAGTGTCCCCTCCACTGCTCCACGCAGCAAATCCGGCCCGCCCACAGACCCCTCCCCTCCTCCACCACAAGGGTCCAGACAGCCGCCCTCCCCTGGATCTACCACCTCCCACCTGGCCCCCCCAGTGTCCCCTGCAGTGAACTCTCCAGGCAGCAGCCAGTGTGGGCCTGGTGCGTCCCTCCAGTACTCAGGACCTGGCTGACTCCCATCTCAGAGAGGAGCCCAGTGTCCACCATGTCCAGGAGACCCCCGTCCCACTGCCCAGCCCTAACTGGCCCCTGCTGCTCTCCCACCCAAATAGTCACTAGTAATGGTCCCCAGCCCTCAGGATCTTGCACAGCTGTCCCCTCTGGACACCTCCCTGGGCCTGTGAACCCTGCACACTGCCGGCTAAGCCTCCAGATCTAAGTCAGCAAACGCCAAGCCCTCCGCTTAGGTCCCAAAACAAATCACATTGCATGGGAGCAAACACCTGGTTCCTGTGACAACCGTCCAGCACACACTCGGGTTTGTCATGACGAAGGAGAGAAGTGGCAGCTGTGGTAGGGCTCAGGACAATGACATGGGAAGAGGACCTGTGTTCAGGGTGACAGGAATTTTCTTTCCACCAAAAATGGCACCAGTAGGGCCAGAGGGCAGGTGGAGAAGGTGCCCAGGGAAGGAAGGGAGGGCCTGGCCCTGTGATGAAGGCGCTGGCGGCTGGCGGCGGTCACGCAGGGTCCAGATCCGGCCCCTGGGCTGCCGAACACGAAATGGGTTCTGCCCAGACAGCGGCAGGGGCCCAGGGGGAAGCCAAGGGGACGCTGTCTGCCTCCCCGCTAGAGGCAGAGCGAGGGCAGCTGGAGAGCCCCGAGGACAGGCCTGCACCATGGCCCCACAGGCAGGGGCCAGGCTGCGGGGTGAGTGACGACACCGACACATGCACAAGAAGTCACACTTTATTTCTACAGCAAAACCCACGGCAGCATTTCACAAGCAGGGATTTGGGGGATTGGAGTCAACGTACACATACGGTTTGTGCGCGTGCCCACTTCAGAGGGTCTGCAGAGGGAGGAAGCCGCTTCGTGCTCACAACAGGACACGCTGTGAATGGGGACAGTGCCCTTTGGGCTGCTTCAGACTTCTGAACCAAGTAGAGAAGACACAGGCCTAGCAAGGTCCCTGTCCCGCCTCCAAGAGGCCTGGGAGCGGCATGAGGCTGGCACCCACAACCTTCCAGGCCCGGCAGCCCTGGGGAGAGGTGGCTGGCGGTCTCTGGTGCATTCGGGTTGTAACAGGTTTGGCAAAAACAGCACAAGGGCCCAGTCCATGGTCACCCGGAGGATCGTCACCTCTCCTGTCATTTGCTCCAAGGCACAGCCACAGTCACTTTCCTCTTGCTTTTCCAGGCTCTGGGGGTGGGAGTGGGTGGCCTCAGGACTGGGAGAGTCTGATGGGGAGATCCCTGGCCATCTGTCAGGGTGGGAAGAGCCACTCTGGAAAGAGGCCAGGCCGCAGGGCATTAGCAAGCTGTCCAGCCCCAAGTCCCGAGCAGTCCTAGCTCTGGCCAGCCTGGCCCTGCGGCCCCTGTGGTCCTCACCTGAAGCGCCTGATCTCGTGGGGCAGCAGATGGTGGGGCCTAGGCAGACCCTGTGGCGAGGTCTTGGAGCCCCATGTCATGTGCTGCCCATGTAGAACTGCGGTGGAAGGAGAGGGGCCTGGCGCACACCGGGCATGTGGGGCCAGGGGCAGCGCAGGGCAGCAGCAGAGCCCAGCCCAGGAGGACCAGCTGGTGCAGCTGATCTGTAGGGTGCTCTCAGGGAGCAAGGCCGTAGACCTCTGGAACTCACGGATGGACAATGTCCCCAGTGTCCCAGGGCACAGACCCCTACCTGAGGGCCTCTCAGTCCCTCTGCCTCTCACCATGCTGCCTGCAGCGAGTGCAGGACCCTCCCTTGGCACCTCCTGGTGGGACAGGGATGCCAAGCAGCGGCCCTGGGGAGAAGGCTGAGGGACAACAGTGGAGACAGGTGTGGGGCTCTCAGCCACCTTCTCTGCTCAGGGCTATAAATACGCATGCAAATAGTAAGTGCTCTGCGACATTTATCATAAATTACAGGTGGATGATTGTGAGTCTTCAGGCCTCGGGGAATATTTTAGGTCTTATAAAAAAAAAAAAAAAAGGGGGGGGACAAACTAACCAGATCTGGCAATGGCCGCCCGGGCTGCTGCTGGCGGAATAGCGGCTGGCCTGAAGTGACTGCGCTGAGCGGGTGGGGCCTGGTAGTGGAGGAGCAGACGACCCAGGCCCAGGGCAGGAGGGACAGCTGGAGGATGGGTGCCCTCGCCCCTTCCCAGGATGACCCTATTCCGGGGCAGGGTGTATAATTTTAGGACTTGAGTGGTGAAGACGGGGAGGGCCCTCCTCGGGCTTTCTGTGCGCCTGCCCCGGCCCCTGCTTTAGCCCTGGAGAGAGCCTGGCCAGGGAGACGCGGGCATGCGGGGTCCAGCTGCCCTGAGCCCAGGAAGCGGGTATATGGGCCTCAGCGTGGGGGTGGATGGGCAGCCGGAGCCACGGAGGAGGAATCCAAGGGACACCAGGGACCCACCACGAAGACCCACACTCCCTCCCCTCCCCCCTCAGCCTCACTTCCTGGGGAACACTGTGGCCCCCCAAAACTTCCCACGCTCTCACACAACGGGGGCCTCTGAATCCACCCAGCGCTGGGCATGACGGGGCCCACTCCAGGGAGGTGGGATGACCAGTGGCCCTGCAGGCCGTCGAGACCCCCCTCAGCGACTCCTGAGCCACAGCGGGCACCAGGAAGACTTGTAATTTAATATCATAATGACGACACGCGTGGTGGCGCAGAGCCTCGGACGGCAGCTTAAAGTCCCAGGGCCACTAATGAGCGCCGAGTCCTGCTGGAGCTGTCGTCAGGATGGACACCAGAGTTGATGGCCGTAGCTGCCAAACAAATGGAGCCTGAGCCCGGCCTGTGCCTGCCACTCCGCCCGGTGGAGGGCAGGTCCACCCTGAAGCTGTTGTGCCCAGGACCTCAAGCGCCAGGAGCACTGGTGACACCAAAGGCGAGAGTGCAGCCAGCAAGGAGAGGCCCCAAGAGCTGCCCTGGACGCTCTTTCCCTCTAACACCCTCCTCCCTGTCCCAGGGGGGCGCTCAAGGGCGGTCTGTGACGGGACCCTCCATCTCTATCACCAAGTGGCCTCTGCTGCTTCCTGTGGATCACACTCTCCTTTATTCCCGCTGACTCCAGAAAAGCTCAGTGGCCACAATTTTGTTATCTTCTAAATTAGAAAGAAGGTGAGGCTGGCGGGCACAGCAGCGGGCATCTGGGGCGATGGCTAACTACTGAGCAATTTTCGCACAATTCAAAACTCATTTTGTTTTTTGGCCAAGGAATCAGTCTAACAAACACATCCCACTCTTGCTGAAAATCTCTCTTCCCAACTCTTCTAGGAATGAGACACTTTTAATGTATTTGTCAGGAATCGACACTTCATTTAATAAGATTTAAAAAGCGACAATTTAAAGAGCATTGAGAAGCGCCCCACACCCGTCACGGGCTCAGGGTTCTAACTAGAATCAGGAGAGAAACAGGACCCAGGGCACAGGGAATCGCGGGCGTGTGAGGGGTTTGAGCTGCGCAATCCTCCTGGGGGGCTCTGCCTGCCCAGCCGACCCCCTAGGAGCTGCCGGGAGGTGACCTGAAGGCTTCTTCCCAAAGCTCCGATGAAGGTTTCTTTCTACTTTTCCCCAAAACATTAAAAAAAAAAAAAAAAAAAAAAAAACAGGCTTCGGAGGGCAGGGGGTTTTGGCAGTGACTCATCTCGAGTGGGGCAGAGGTGTCCTTGCATGATCCCGAGAAGCATCATGGTACAGGGCAGAGGTCGTGGCCACCAAGTGTCTGTCTCCCTGGCCACTCCCCTAACCAGATCCCACCTGGCTGCACTAACGCTGCTCAGTCCATTGAGGCTCCCAGGGGTGAGGGGCCTTGGGCCTCGGAACCTCGTCTGCTGCGCTGCCCCCGGCGCTTGGCTGAGATCCCCGCTGGCATGGGCTCCTGGAGGCGGCCCAGGGCCCTGCTGGGCAGACGTCCCTGCCTCAGCCCAGCAGCACACTTGGCTCCAAGGTTTCGGCCGTTTTGACCCAGGTGGCAGCAGAGAGAAGCTCTCCCTGGGGCCCGCCAAGCCCTGGAGATGTCCAGGCCAGACTCCTTCCTGGCTGCTCGCTCGTCCCTGGCCCGGAGACCCCGCAGGCCTGTGTGGTGTGACACACCTCGACTGTGGCCCCTGGACCAGTTGGACATGAGGAAAGAACCTCCTGCCCCAATCAGAAGACCTCGAGGGACGGAGGGCTCCTCCAGCCTGCTGAGGCCAGTGTCCTCCTGGCACCCCGAGGAGGCTTTCCAGGGCCACAGATGGGGCCAGGGTAGGAGAGAGTCACCCGCAGAACACTCTGTGGCCACCTGCTGCCAGTGCCACCCCGTCCTCCCCTCAGCCCTGGTAAAGGAGGCACCTAAGGTGCTGGGGGAGGCGGGAAGAGCTCTAGCAGGTGAGGAAGTCCCAGCAGAGAGGACAGAGGCCAGCCATGGCCCGGGAAGCCACAGGTGTGGCCTCTAGGATGTGGCAGAGCTGCTGGCACCTGCAGGGGAGACACTTGGCAGTGGTGGGTTCTCAGCTGTCACTAGCCCAGTCACCTGGGGCCCCCTCTACCTGGGACGTGTCTCTGTGCCCCTGGGACTGACCTGGCCCCTCTGTCCCAGGGGACAGGGGACAAACAGCGTGGAAGTACTGCTGGGCGGGCGGGGGCTCGAGTGCCAACTGGCGGCTGCAGGCTGGATGCTGACAGAGGCGGCAGCGCCCCACCATGGCGGGCACCCCGCCAAGGAGCCTGTCACGCGGACATGCTGGGCACCCAGAGGGGGTCCCACTCGGCCCACAGCGGAGAAGCAGGCAGAGTTCTGCTGACAGGCGCCTCTCCCCCAGGACCACCTCTCCCACCTAGATGACCCTGTTTCCTGCTGGCCTGTGTTCCCACAGAAAGATGACCTCACCCCAGCCCTGCACTTGGACACCACCTCACCATTCAGTGTGGACTCAGAACCAAGCTGAACGGGAGGAACAGGCGCTGACCCTTTCAGCCTTTCTACACCCCAAATGTCTTTCAGACACTGGAAAGGAAGCCCTCAGGCCTGCCCCACTCCTCTAAGCAGGCTCCCGGAGTGTGCTGGGCACCTGGGGACCACCGGGCAGCTCAGTGGCTCGCCACACTGCCAGGGAGGCTCTCAGGCCAGAGCTGACGGCCCCGACGCAGAGCATCTGGAGAGAAGCAGAACTGCAGATGATCACAGGTGTACATCACCAGGGGTCACCAGCACTGGAAAGGAAACCACTGGTAAGTGACAGAAAGCCAGATGGAGCTGTCGTAGTCGCATGAGATCCTCCCGGGGACGATTAGAAGTTTCTGAGAAATGCCTTTCCCAATGCCCAGGGGGTGCCGTAGTATGGGGAAAACACAGCAGCACAACAAGGCTGCAGAGGCGCAGGTCTGTGCTCCCGATGCTAGGCCACAAGAGCCAAGCTCGCCAGAAACTGGCATGTCTGTCCACAGACTTCTGAGTGTTAAATTAGCAGCTGGCATGGTAACTGTTTCCTCGTCAGCCGCGGAAGCTTAAAGGCAGGATACATTTCAGGAATGACAGGTTAATAACTGAGCAACCTGAACGATTATTGACTCAAATGTCCACAGACTGATGTGCTCACTGTGTATTTTGTTGAACGTCTTCAGAGGCTTTACCTTGTGAGACCAGGTGTCACCACGAGATGCCTCTGCATCTCACTCAGGAGTCGACGGACAAGAGTCTCTACCCTGCCCCAAAACCGTTCAAAAACAAGGGAGGGAAATGAGTGTAGAGGGATCAGAACAAGCCATCTGGAGCGCGTCTCAGAGATGAGGAAAGCTAGGGGTCAGCGGAGGAGAGGAGCTAGAGGGCACACCAGCCGCCAGGGCCGGTGTGGGTAAGAAAACCCTCCAGGGGACCCAATCCTACAGGCGCTCTGGGCCAGCAGGGCCTAGTGCCTTCTCTTCTGTTCCGGGTCTGCTGCTGTTTCTGCAGTGGGCTGGGGCCTGAGTGTCACTTCCTTCTGTCCCTCTGCCTGGGTCAGATTAGAGAGGTAGGGTTTTAATGGTGGACTTGATGAAGATTGAAGACCCGTTTCTCCCCCTGGAGACTAGCCTGATTTGGACAAATGGAGGAGAACAAAGCGGGCCCTGCTGTCCTTGGGAGGAAACCTGTGTCCGAGTTTGCAGCCGAGCCTGCTCCTCCCTGGACGTGGGGAGGGCAGTCCACAAACACCGTGCCCGGGGGACACCTCCTCTGCCACCCAGGCCCACCCAGTCACACCATGTCTGCCGCCTCCTTTATTGGTGCTGCCGGTTGGGTGAGCGCGAGCTGGAGCCTGGGCTGGGGGGCAGAGAGCCGCCACTGGGGGCTCGCAGGGCGTGAGGGTCAAGCTGTTGACTGGGCAGGCTGTCGTCCGTTGTCCCTGATTCTTCGCTGCCTTCCTCCTTCTGGATGCTCTGCTGCTCCGGACACTCAAAGTGGACACAGTGGAACACCTGGGTGAGGAGAGGAAAGGAGTTGGTGAGTGAGGGATTGGCTGGGGACCTCGGGCTGCCAGGTGCAGTCCTGCCCAGACACCAAGCAGCAACTAGGAGACCCTGGACGCACCTGACCAGTCAGGCACCAAAGTCATGGACACCGTGACCCAGGTTCCTGCAGAATGTTCTCACAGGGTGACCACGTTTGGGTGGTTTTTGTCTCATGGGCTCTTTTTCCTTTTGTTTATTTTTAATTTTGGGGGGGGTGCTAGGGATTTAACCCAGGGCAACTTGCCACTGGGCTACACACATCCCCAGACTGCACCCGCTTCTTTTTGTCTCATTTAGACAGGGCCTCACTGAGTTGCTTAGGGCCTCGCTAAATTGCTGAGGGTGGCTTTGAACTTGAGATCCTCCTGCCTCAGCCTAAGGCTGGGATTACAGGCCTGTGCCACTGCGCCTGGTTTTTTCTCCCTTTTAATTAATTTACCATTGAGGTGGTGGCCGGGTCCAGTCAGCAGGTGTGGACTGTGGTGGTGGTCACACGACTCTGAACCCACTGAGGGCGCACTTTCTGCAGGGTGAGCAGCACGGATGGGAAATCTCCCCCCATAGGCTGTGGTAACAAGAGAGCCAGCAGGGATCACCCCTGGAGAGGACCCGGGCACCCTGGCAAGGCCTACGAGGGCTGAGCGAAGCCCGCGGGTAGCTGTGCTAGGGACGGACTCCAACCCTGCCTGGCCTGGCCTGGCCTGGAACAAATGCCTCACCCGAGGAGCTGGCCACCTGGTTGAGGGCAGGTGACCCCCCTCCAGAAGCCAGGAAAAGGCTGCCCACCTGCAGCGGGTCTGACTGGCAGCACCATGGAGCCCCAAGTCAGTGCTGCTGGCCCCTGTGCACACGGCACATGCTGAACATGCTGGGCGGGTGGGGAGCCCTGGCCCCTGGCTCCAGAGACCCCGACATGCCTGGCACTGAACGGGCAGTGACCGCTGAAGGGTGGGCTGGGGGGAGTCGAGGAGCCCCATCAGAGGCCCAGACAGGAAGGCTGCCCGCAGCCCAGCCTCACACGGAAAATCCTCTCTGCTGTCCATCAACCGGATCTTTCTGGGGCTCCACTTCCCAGTGCCCATCGAGCTCTGAGGGGCAGGAATCCCACCCTCTTCAGTCGTGGTGGTCAGATGGACCACCCAGGGTGCAGGCGGCAGTGTTAAGGGAATCAATTTCAAAGGTGTGCTTTCTGAACCTGCTGAGGGCGCGCCTGAATTCACAGTCTGGGCGTCTCTGCTACCCCGCGAAGGCGGCCCCGCGTGCCCACTCACCCAGGAGCACCACCCAGGCACCCAGGCTCCTTCTTGCCAGCTCAGGCATAGAATGGGGTATGGCCTGTCATGTCACTGGGCTCTGAGGTGTCCTGGAACCCCATAGGTGGCCTGGCTTAGAGCTCCGAATTCAGAGCCTCTGAAGGGTCCACATGAGTGAATTATTTTAATGCAGCTGGAATTTTTCCAGAATTATGAAAATATTCTCAGGATTCACTGGCTAAAATCCATGGATAAAACTTTTCCATAATTACTATCAGATTTTTGTGTGCTTTATTCAACTTACTTAAAATCTATTTTATCAAATCATGTCTTCAAATAGTTCCTGATATTTAGTCAACCCACATCTTCCATCTTATGTTTATTTTTCTCATATTTACGAAACTATTTTTAAACCTGTGGTGAAACATTTAATCTACGTCTCAATCTAACGCGCTCAACATGTCATACTTTCTTCCAAGCTCTCCTGGGGGCCATGCAGACACCGTGTCTGAGGCCACAGCCCCACAGCACTTGGGGGCAGCTCGGCCGTGGGTGTAGTTCTTCTTAAACGTCCAGGCAGGACCTGGAGGGAAGTAGAGGACTCGGCTGAGACGAGTCCACGCGAGGGGAGGGTCTGGAGAGGGACAGAGGCCTCAGGGAGAAGACCTCAGACCTCTGAGTGGTGTCTGAGGAGATCTAACCAACAAAGTGAGGAGAGAGGGGTCGGGGACGGTGAAGAGGGCCTGATGAAGTGGGAGAGATGTGACTTGCAAACTGTCACTGATTTTGGGTGCAAATGCCAAGGCCAGGGCAGGTGGGCAGCTGGCTGTGGAGATGTGCATGGAGGCCTGGCAGGTGGGCGCCTACGTGGACAGCCACGAGCAACAGGTCCCACGGAGCCATGTGGCGGGCCACACTGCTGGGCCTCCCCAGCCCCCCAGCAGCTTCATCTCCATTCCCTTCCCTGGGCTCTGGATTTGCTGGTGGCTGGTGACCGTGCTCGTGGTAAGGGCCTACACAGATGCAGGATAGGGCCGACTGGACACCCCCATGCTCCTGAGGAGGTGCAGTCAAGGGGCTCTGGAGGAGCCTGGCAGGCAGGGCTGGCGGTGCTCTCCCAGGGGAGCACCGGTCCTGCCCAGCGGGAGCCGGAGCTTGTGTGCCCTTCTGCTGGAGAATCATGTCCACGGAGGGAGACGCACGTGCTGTCTGCTGTGGAACTATGTGAGGATGTAAATGCTGTGCTTTCCTTCCCAATTCAACTGGCTTTGCCCACTCTGGCTTCAACTCATTTAGTGACCACTGTTCTGAATTTCACATTCCAGGCTCGGCCACGAAGCCTCCCTGAGCCTGCGCATTTCCGGGCCTGCCCTCTCCCTCTGGCAGCGGCTGTCCTCTCCTAGGTGAACTGCTTCCTCTCCTTAAAGGCTGGTCACGAGGACAGAGGGCTTCCTGAGGACCCTTACTGCTCCTCAGTGCTGGTGGCCGCATCGGGTTAGCACCTTTTCTCCCCTTCCTCCCTTCCCTTGGCGCAAAAGTCCACTTCTGGTCCAGCTGTGGGCCCATACCTGTCAAGCGCCAGCAGGGCCAGGGTCAGACGGGGGCCCTATGTGGAGATCTGCAGGCTCTCTGGGCCACAGCACTGCCTGGGCTGAGCAGGGGGAATCTGAAGACCTCCCTCTGGGTGGCCAGGACTGACCTGTCCTCCTCTACCAGCCTTGCGTTCTTAAGCTTCTGCAGAACAGGAGGGTCTCTGGGCTTGACTCTTAGTCCCTCCTGCTTTAGGAACACACCTCTGCCAGGCAGGGGACAGGGCAGGCTCTGAGGAGCAACCTCGCCGCACACTACAGCTTCCAAGCTGGATGCATACCCCATTCCCTTCTGCAAGACCACCAGGCACCCTCTGAGCCCAGTGCCCGTGAAGGAGGCCTCCACAAGGGCTGCCTGGACTACGGCCCCAGGACAGGGGGGCGCTCCGTCCTGCCTGTCCTTCTGTGTAATCCCCACGCTCAGTCCTGTCAACACCTCTGGAGGCTGCGCCGCCGTGCTGCTGACACTGATCCCTGAGTTGACTTACATGGGCCTCCTCCCTGTCAACTCTCCCCTGTGCCCTCTCCTGATGAATGGTCCCCTCTCCTCTCGCTCTTGCCTCCTCTCCAGGACTGTGACTGTCCAGATGAGCCAGGTGAGCTCTTCCCCAGACGCCCACAAGCATCCTGGTGCCTCCTGCCCGTGGCCGCCCCTCTCCAGCCTCTGGCCCCTGATCTGTCACTTCCCATCACCCTCAAGGACCAAGCTTCATTGTCCACGCTGCAGCTCAGGGTCTTGCCCAGGAATAAACAAATCAATAAAAACCCTGCACTGAGAAATAAAAAGGTCTCAGGATGGCCTGGTGGCTTATCCTGTACAATGTGCTTCTTTTCCGAGGACAGTCCCCATACATCACACAGGACGAGTGCCTGCTCCACTATGCTGGGGAGGGCCTGGGGAGGGCCTGGGGAGACCAGCTGCCCAGGGGGAGACCTGAAAGAGGCCAATGGCCTGGTTCTGGTCATTACTCTCGTCCCACCATTATCCCCATTTCCAGACAAATTCCTCTCATCTACCGCAAGTGCTGCGAACTGCACCCTGTGTTGAGCCCGCCAACAACCCATCTTCAAATAATAATGCAAACGGTGCTTATTCCCAATATAGACACTGACGGGAGCCTCCACGGCTGGTTCTGTGTGTTCCTGCAGCTCCTTCTTCCACAGAAATCACAACTATTCCTCTTTCTGACACCACAAGCTCATGACAGGATCTTCCATCCAAGTTAAGGGTACCCTGGAAAGTCCCAGGCCATACTGGCCCCAACAGTCCCCTGTGTGCTGTGGCCCAGGTACAGCTACCGGGCATCAGAGCTGCATTCCAGTCTGTGACCCGTAACCACTGCCTTTGGTGCAGATGAGCCACTCTGGGTTCTTGAGCCAAAGGACAATGACAGAGGGCTCCGGATGGAGCAGAGGGCTCGAGAGGTGAGGATGGACAGGAGGGGGCAGGGGATGGACAGGAGGGGCAGGGCACAGCCCAGAACAGGCAGGAGCCAGCGCAAGGGCTCTGGAGAAGCACCATTTCTCACATTTAAAAAAAGTGCAAAAGAAATGCACGTTTGTGGTGACAAATTCAAATAATACAAGTGTTTAAAGAAAGTAGATGACAGACCTTTACACTCTGAAATCCCCTGAAGTGAAGCGCAGCTTACAATCAAGAGGAAGGAGTCATTTTTAAAGAAAAACAACACAGAATTTGACAACAGACTCACTAAGGACTGATAAAGTAAGGAAAAGGGTCCACAGGGACCAGGGACTGTCGGCTACTGGGGAAGGCATGGCAGCTGCCACACTGCGGTCACTCAGGGTCCTCCACCCTTCACTGGATTTGCTGTTTTACCCTCCAGTGACCTTGCTGGGTGTGTCCAGCACTTGAACCCAAGGTCAGGATCCCCGGGGACAGGGGCAGGGCGGGCAGAGGTGCCTCTGTGCCACCACATTAGCTCTTCTGCCTACAGCGGAAAGCTGGGATTCACCCTCAGGGCTGGGCGGCACCAAAGCCTGGAACTTTCCACCACCATTCTGACAGCACAGGTAGACAGCAGACTCTGCCTGGAAGGGAGGCTCGGAAAGCCTAGAGGAGGCCCACCCTGGGCCTGAGGAGCTGCGAGCAGACACGTGGGCA